ATCAGCGGCGAAGAGAGGTGGAGGATCCCAAAGATGACGAGATGCGAAAGGGAGTCCGAGAGAGAGAGAGAGAGAGAGAGAGAGATAATATTAGGACGATCAGACAATGAATGGAATTGCGGCGGTCGAGGTTTGCGCGGGGCCAGGGGGCGGTGACATGGGTGCAAATGAACCCGGGCACGCAGGCGAAGAGCGCGATGCATGAGCGCGAATGCGGTTGAAGCGCACGCCGGCTGACAAATCTTAAGATTTGACGCTGGAGTTGCGGAGTTGTTGCCCAGCGTTGATTTGGATGTTTCCAGGCAGGTCGATGAAATGAGGAGGGCGCTGCGGCGATGCGTCAAGGCCAGCGCAATGTGCAGTCGCATGTGTGAGAGCCTACTCGCGAGTCCGGCTTACTTGCATGGCGGAGGCAATGGGACGCATGCCAGGTTGAGCCATGGACTTCGATGACTAAGGGGAGTTCTGGGTTTGCCGCGGCGCGGTGATGCGGGTATAATCGAAGATGAACATCAAGGGCAACGCCGCCCTACTGTTAATCGCAATGCCAATGTCCGCTCGGGGCTAGAAAATGTAGGGAGCACGTCTGGTTACGGGGTGAAGCGCGTCGCTTTTGCGTTGGAACTGCGTGACATTCTGGGAAACATCGGGTGGTGTTTTCTCTGTGAACACCCCGCGGGGTTCTTGATTTGGACCGCGTCGCCAGCGCAGAGAAGAGTTCAGCTCGGGGCTGCGCGGGCATTTGACGGGGGTCCGCGTTGCTTTGACATCAAAGCAGGCGCTGCAAGGTGAGGATATGCTCGCAGAGAAGACAACGCGAGTCATTACTAACAGCCCCCACATCGGAAGGCCCCTCAGTTCGACGCGTAGAGGCCAGCGTCGACGCGTCGACATGATCGGGGGAGGCAGAACGAGGAGATCAGAGTCGTATCCTGGGCCGGCTCCGTCGAGCAATCCATACAGGCTTAGTTGCCCAGATGAGGTCAGGCGATTATTTATGGCGCGCATTCAGCGTGCCCGATCCCGGGGTCAGTTGGACTGAACCAGACGAAGGAATGGAAATCAGACCGACGTGGAATGCGTGTCTGCGCTGAGATACTCTAGACTTGGGCGCGGGCCAGGCGCTTGAGGACAGCGGGGCTCGCGATATTGGAGGAAAGGGGCGGCGGTGATAATTCAGAGGAAGGGGCTTGCTACGTCGCTGCTGGATTAAACTGCCGAATTGCCCAGGGCATCCAGCCTTGCAGATGGATATGTGGAGCGCGCCGACGCCAGAGGCGATGGGAAGTTCCAGGGGCGCGCGAAGCGCGCGGGGGCGCTGATTGGGTGCAGCCAATTACCGGAGGTGACATATGCATTGTCCGCCGCCAACATGGACAAACGTAGGCGTGGGATTATACGCGAGGAAGTGAGCCCGATCCAGAGCCCGCGTGAACGGTGCTTGGGAGGAGGAGATGGAGCTACTTAGAGAACGCGAGCTCTACGTGGAAATAAAGGAGGACGAATGCAGTATACTGGCAAGGGCCCCGCTGGCACGAATTGTATCGATGCCAACAGAGGGGGCGAGGCCAACCCTGAGTGCCGATCCTGGCTGGCCCAGCAAGTCCAATCCACAGAAGGGAACATCTTTTCAGCGGCACCTCCATGGCCATTCCATAGTTTGTCATCTTCTGCAGCTGTTACCGATGGGATAGGGCATGCTCGCGGGGTGCGTGAGACAAAAGGCTGCATCTGGCGTTGATAGACGATCGACGTGCGTACTGATACGCCGAGGCCAAACAGGGCATCTCCATCAGGTTTCCCGTAAGAGATTGAGAGCCGGGCATGTGAGTCAGATTTACTGACGTCAGTGTACGGGACTCGGGATGGAGGCCGCATTTCAGAAGATAGTTGCGTGAATGTTGCGTGTGTTATTGGTTTCGGGAATGGGGAAGGCACCGGCGTCTGTGGTTAATCAGAACACAAGGTGGCTTTGGATCGCCATCGATAAGGGGCTGTTTACGCTGCTGGGTGATGGCATTTGTTTTTGTATTGTTTGTTTTTTTCTCCCCCGGATATGTTAAGCGATTCGCGCATCTCCACCAGCCGCTCAAGGCACGATGTCACGGCGATTTGAGGTGATCAGGGAAGTGCGGGAGCAAAGAGGGGGACGGCCGAACCGTGCGAAGGAGGGAGGAAGAAAAGGAAAAGGCTCGATGAACGAATGAGGGAGTGGGGAGAAGGAAGATGAATTGGAGAGGGAGGAGGGGGAGAAGGAGGAGGAGGAGGAGGAGGAAAAGGAGGAGGAGGAGGAGAAGGAGGAAGGGGAATAGTTGGAGGAGGGAGGGGATGAGTAGGAGGAGGAAGGTGGAGGAGGAGGAGGCGTAGGAGGAGGAGGACTACGACAAGGACGAGGAGGAGGAGGAGGAGGAGAAGGGGGAGGAGGAAGAAGAGGAGGAGGAGGAGGAGGAAGAGGAGGACAAGCAGAGGGGCCACATGTCTCTTGGATGCCTCTCGGAGCCTCTTCGAATATCTCTTGGCGTTTCGTGGTGGCCTCTTGGGATGTCTTGGGGTTCATTTGGCGGTCCTGGGGGGCTCTTGGGCGTTTTGGGTGCCTCGTGGGGGCCTCTTGGGGCCGCTTGGGGTCCTCTTGGTGGCCTCCTGGGGGCCTCTTGTGGGCCTCTTGGGGCCATCTTGTGGTCTTGGGGCCTCCTGGGCGCATCTTGGGGCAATTGAGGAGGACATCGATCAAAGAAAGTGGGTAACCTCATTAGGGCTGCCCCTCTAAAGCCTCCCAAATCGCCTCTTGGGGCACTCTTGGAGCGCTCTTGGAGCGCTCTTGGGCTCATTTGGGGCCTTTTTGGGGCGCTCTTGGGCCCCTCTTGGGGCCCTCTTGGGCCATCTTGGAACCATATTGAGGCCTCGGACGGTCATCGGAAGCGAAACGTCGAGAAGGCATCAATCATTGGTTTCCTTATGTTTTGGAATGTTTGTGGCCTCCTGGAGGCCTCTTTGAATGTTTCGGAGGCCTCGTGGAGCCGTATTGGAACCTTCTTGGATCATCTTGAAGCATTTTGGGAACCATTTTGAGGCATCTCGGGCTAGCTTGAGCAATCTTGGAGGTCATCGTGGGCTCTCTGAGGCCCTCTTAGAGCCGTCTTGGGCCATCTTTGGCGCTCTGACCGCTCGCGACCGGCTCCGTCCAGGTCCAGGGGAGGGGGTACGGGGAGGTTTAAACCCCTCCCCGAAGGGGAAGAAGGGGGTTGGAAGAGGAAGCGGTCTAGACCACCTTACGCTCTGAAGGGCTGGTGGGAGGTGAAGTCTGATTCCGGGGAAGGCTTGGGCCAGAGCCAACGGATTTGAAGCCGACCAGCATCTTCAACCGAATTGCGGTGTGGAGGCGTTTTTTTTATAGTATGAGGCCGGCCAACGGCATGCTGAGATACTTTTCAAAAAGGGTTGGGCCTTGAGCATTGCAGCGTAATGTGTGAGATTCCAGGCGAAGGAGAGACCCGCGGAGGATCTTAGATAACATTCATTACCCCGCCATGATATCGAGCTGTAGAGGTAAGGTCAATTTCTACTGCACAGGGGTGATCATATACACAGTTGTCAGTCAAAGATCGTGCGCGTTCTGTGATAGCCCCCACCCGAGGGGCATGGAACAACTTCGTAACATTGGGCAGGTGCCTCAAGAACCACGGCAAGCGCGGATCTTGTTACTTTTGTCTGGATTGCCCAACGGAGTTCATGGTGTGGACTGACGCTGGCTATGCTATATGGAAGGGGACACGTAAACCAACAAGTTTAGCAACAGAGATGTGGTGATCTCGTGTGCTGAGATCGTTGGGTTCGACTCAGGGTGTAGTGGCATTTTTTCTTCTGGAGTAGCAGGGTATTGTTGCATGGTGGAGTGTGGATCAGTAGCGTAGGACTACAAACAGTTCGCAGAGACGTCGATGGATGCAGTATCGCGTTAAACAACGATGCTAGTGCGACCATCGCGATTGCAGGCCAGCGAGGGCTTTGAGCAGTCTTGCAGATCAAGGTTTGCCAACTGTTTGCAACAGAAGGTGCGACGAGGAGACATCATAATGATCCAAGTAGAAAACCATGAGAGTTTTGCAGACGCTTAAACCGAGCTTATGAGCAGGGGCGATTTGCCCAATCACGTACGTGGTACCGATCAACAGCTTTGTTGTGGAAAAATCGAGCTGCCGCCCGCTACAGGGTGTCAGCTTAATCCACATCCCGATCGTCACCGCGTGCCGTTTTGCCGAAGATTTGAGCTCAGGATCAGCTGAGGTCCAAGTGCTCGTCTGCGCGATCTAATTCCAAACGGCCGAATCTGTGAATCGTCTTGAATGGCTCGGTGTTTTGCGACACCTTGAGGTCGTGTTTCGCGTGTTGGGAGGCCCCTGCGTATTGGCGCCGGCACCACAGCCGCCTTGTGTTTGCACCCGTTATGTTTCTGCTGCTTCGTGCCTTGCTGGGGCGGGGTCCTGGCTGCGCTGCCTACTTCTGTAGGACGTGTCTGTTGCCCAGTCGCCCCGGCAGGGTGAGTGGCATTGTATCTGCACGAACGAGATGGGCTCGGAAAGAATGGGTACACTGCCCAACAGCGCATCCTGTTCATTTTGAACAGGACTCGCTGTCCGCGCCGCCGCGGCCTGTGTCCACTTGAGACAGAAGGCCGCCTGCCCAACAGCGGCCGCTGTTGGTTTGGGACAACATTGTTTGCTGGGCATTGTACCAATTTTTTCCGTACCCATTTCGGGCGTCCAAATTGTAGAGTTCATGCTGTTCAGGAAACATCCATCCCATCACGTGAAGCAACAGTTGTTGCACACTGCGCATTTTTATGAAACAGCAAATGCCCCACCCGATTTTCTGGGGGTGCGCGATCAGGAGGAGGAAGAGGGCGAGGAGGACGGCGAGGAGGAGGAGGAGGAGGAGGAGGAGGAGGAGGAGGAGGAGGGGGAAGAGGAGGAGGCGGAGGAGGAGGATGATGAGGAGGAGCAGGAAAAGGAAAACGATGGTGGACGGGGAGGAGGACGACGAAAACGCCCCTCGGCCATGGCGTTGAGGCGGGCCCCTCCGTCACCTACGCCGCCGCTCCCGCCGCGGGGTACTCCGCGTACGGCGCAACCGCGGCATACGAGGAGCGACCACATGTCTGGGGCGGACGAGGGGGAGTGGGGACGAGGAGGGGGTGGAAGAGGAATAAGAGGTGAAGGAGGAGGAGGAAGAGGGGGAGGAGGAGAAGGCGGGGAAGGAGGTGGAGGAGGACGAGGAAGAGGAGGAGAAGGAGGAGGAGGAAGAGGAAGAGGAGGAGGAGGAGGAAGAGGAGGAGGAGGAGGAGGAAAAGGAGGAGAAGGAGGACGGCGAGGAGGAGGAGGAGGAGGACGAGGAGGAGGAGAAACAGGAGGAGGTGGAGGAGGAGGAGGAGAACCATACCAATAATAATAACAGCAATCTGACGAATAATGAGACGAAAACGAAGAAGGAACATACGAATAATCATAGTAAGACTAAGGGGTTTGATATTACGGAGGAGAAGACTGACCATATTACTTACAAGACGAAATCGAATATGCATAATACGAATAACAAGAACATTAGGGGTACGAATAGCAATACTATTCATAATGCTAAGAATAAATAAACGAAACAAACAAACCATATTACTATTACTATTACGAATGATCGCAATATTAAGGTAACGACATAATTATACACAAGGATACGAGTATTAATATTCGTGGAACTAAGCATGCGACCACTACAACACATACTACTACGACAAACAGTATGAAGCCGGAACACAGTAATACTACTAAGACGAGTAATACCAATCATACGCATAGGACGATTGTTCATAATACTAATACTAAGCATTAGTAAGAAGTCGAACACTAAGAACAACAGTACGCCGATTTTGAACACTAAGAACATCATAAGAAGACGAATCACAACACGACCACACACAATAATAGTAACAGGAAGAAAACTAAGACGAATACTCAGACTACGAAGACTCATGGGAGGACGAGAACGGGGAGGAGGAGGAGGAGGAGGAGTAAGGAAGGAGGAGGAGGCGAAGACGGATGAGAAGGAAGAGGATGAGGAGGAGGTGGAGGAGGAGGAAGAGGAGCAGACGGAGGAAGAGGAGGAGGATGAGGAGGAAGACACGGAGGAACTGGAGGACCTGGAGGAGGAGGGGGCGGAAGAGGAAGAGGGGGAGGAGGAGGAGGAGGAGGAGGAGGAGGAACAGGAGGAGGAGAAGGAGGAACACTATTCAGAAAACTTCCACCAATGCCAATAGTTCTAATACGACACGTACAAGGTAGCATAATGATAGAACGGATGCAATTCAGAAGTCGAGTATTGATACCAATAAGAGAAAGACTAGTCTCAAAACGAGTAGTACCACTATTTCGCTAACAATATTAAGAAGAGTAGGAATGCTGAACATACTACGGATACGAGCAATAGTACGAAGCACCATTCACCATAAAGCTACTAAATCAACATACAATTTGTAACACAACTGTTAAGAACAGTAACGCTACTACTACTACTGCTGCTGCTACTACTACTGGTAACCATACTACCGACAACGAAGCGATAAATTAATACGTTTAAGGAGAGTACTGATAACATGGGGAGGGGGAGGAGGAGGGGGACGAGTAGGACCAGGATCAGGATGAGGTGGAGGAGGGGGGAACGGAGGAGGATGAGGAGAGGAGGAGTGGGAGGAGGAGGAGGAGGAGGAATCCAAACTATAAGAATAACCATACTGAGACTAACCTGTATAATAATCCGAGGAATGAAGAGGAGTAGGAGTAGGGGGAGGGGGAGAAGAAGGAGGCGCAGAGGGAGAAGGAGGCGGATGATGCTAGCAAGAACATGATCAATAACACCAAACAGGGGACAACGACGAATCATACTAGCAATGGTAATGCTATGATAAGTTCCGCCATCCTAGTAAGAATAAGCATGCGAACCAGAAGACACGGACGACGAAGCATCATACTTTTATTTGCACTACTACTACTACTACTACTACTACTACTACTACTACTACTACTCCTACTACTACTACTACTACTACTACTACTATTTTCTACTGGTGCTACTACTTCTGCGAATGACACTTCCAATACTGTTCATACTGATACGATCAATACTCGTGATCGAAGTAGTAATAATAATCGTACTAGTACTAGTAGTAGTAACACGAGTAGTAACGATGACAACAATCATAATAATATGTGATACACTACTATTACCAATCACAATACTGATACTGCGAATGCTCATGAGAAGAAGAAGACGAACACCACGAGGAGGAGGATAACGGCCGTGAAGAGGACGAGTAGGACGAGTCGTAGGAGGAGGATGGGTAGGAAAGAGAAAGGGCCTGACATCGCTCGAACGTATGAATTATTTTCTCGTCGAGGCGAGCGCCAGAACATCTGGACAATCGAGGAGACTATTGCATCACCTTGCGAAGGAAACTACCAAAAAAACGACGCTGAACACTGCGCGGGAAAATGACGGTCGGAACGATGGCACAAGGAGAACCTGGACACACCCAATATGTTTGATCGATGTTTCACTACCCGCGCCCGTGCCAAGCCCCTTCACAATAAACCTCTTCATTGCGGGAAGTGCCTTGGTGAATGAGTAGCGGTTCGTGGACCTGCAATTCAGGCGTGGCGTCTGTTTTGACAAGCTTTTGTTATTTGTGCTGTTCGCTGTAAGGATAGCGATGGTGTAGGACGCTCAAGTAAGAGGAACTGTCATGCGAGAGCCCCGCTTTGAATATCCGTCGCGCTCAGTCCGCGCTGTGTTCCGCCAGTGTTACACGTTAGGCCGTATATCCTACAGTGGAGGCCAGTCCACAAGACATTTTCCACAAGACACCCAGCCCTGAGACTCCAGGACGTCCATTAATGTTTGATGTGCAAACATCACGGTGCCAATGGCAAAACCATCGAAGCCAAAGAAACCCATGGCACCCTGGAGGCAAGCAGGATGTTTCTTGGCATGGGTCTCCATTGTAAGGGCGCCTCAAGCGACATCCTCGATTCCAAAGTAAGCCGCCCACCATCCGTGTAGCGGTTGCGTGCACCTCTCAAACAAGCAAGTTCTGTGTCGACAAGGCGCTCCCTCCATCCGTTCAATGTTGGGCACATTTGATCGGCGAACTTGCGCGACGCCATGGCGAGAGCCACACTTTGAAGTCGCCCCCCCCTATATCGGCGAAAATGCTGTCAGCTTTGAAATGCAGTGGAGGCCCATGACAAGAAACACCCTGCTTGCCTCCGGGGTGTCCTGGGTTTCTTGGGTTTCGAAGGTTTTGCCGTGGAAGGCGCGACGCTCCCACACCAACAATCAATGGACGTCCTGGGGTCTCATGGTTGGGTTTCTTGTGGAAGGTTTCTTGTGGTCGGGCCTCCACGGTATTTCCGCGAAACTGCTGGAAGCTTTGATATTTGAATGCGTCCGGCCCCCAGGCGAGAGCCACACTTTAAACCACCCGTGTGTCTGTGGGATGCTTGCATGGCGAGTGTATAGTCCGAGCTCCCGCGCACCGAAATGTTTTAAGCGACAGGGATTCCAGGGTGGTGGGCCGGGTGTGTGCCCGTCTGGTTCGGATGGCACTGTCCGATGTTTAGAATGTGGAACCCTAGTGCGCCCCGTCTGCCTCAATTTCTTGAGGCATCGTGCTCTCGCCTGAATGCCGGTCACACTTCCTGTCTGGACGGCCACGATTATCCTCTCTCTTCTTTCCTTACCTCCCCCCTTCCACTACCTCCCCCCCTCCTTCCCGTCCTCCCTCCCCTTCTCCCCCCCCCCCCTTCTCCTCCGCCCGTGGAGGAGGCTGGGGCAGCACGAGCAGGAGGAAAAGGTGGAGAAAGAGGAGGAGGAGGAGGAGGAGGAGGAGGAGAAAGAGGAGGAGGAGGAGGAGGAGGAGGAAGAGGAGGAGGAGGAGGAGGAGGAGGAGAGGAGGCCGAGGCTTCCCCTTGGCCGCTGCGCCTTAGGCGGGCCCCTCCGTCACGTACTCTGCCGCGCCCGCTCCGGCGTATGGCGCCCCCGCGGCGTACGAGGCGTCGGGCCTCGTCGGCGGCGTCGTCGTCGTCGTCATCGTCGGCGTCGGCGTCAGCGTCAGCGTCGACGTCGTCGTTGTCGTCGTCGTCGTCGTCGTCAGCGTCAGCATCGACGGGAGGGACGTGGCCCCCGTCGTCTCCGGGACCCGGGTGGCGAACAAACGTGCAGTCAGCCCGCACAGCAAGGAGGCGCAGCCTTCCCGAGGAGGAGGAGGAGGAGGAGGGGGAGGAGGAGGATGTGGAGGAGCCCGTGCATCCTGGCATCCTCGGCCCGTCCTCGGCCACTTTCTCGCTGGCCGCGCCCCGCTTGCAGGGCGTCGGCATGGTTTTCCGAGGCCCTCGCCCCCTCACCGCGCATTCGTCTTGTACGGGCTGGCTGCACCCTGGCGGGCTTCTTGCTGCCTGTTCGGTCTCTGCATGTGGGCCCTCGCCAGGCCCCAGAGGTCGTCAACGAACGGCACCTCAGGAGCAAAAACCCGGTCGCCAGGGAGCGGTCGAGACTTCCGGGGCTCCGCGCTGTGAAAGAATCACGACTTGGGCCCACACGTCGTCGTCGTCGTCGTCGTCGTCGTCGTCGTCGTCGTCGTCGTCGAGGTCCGAAGACTGTTGTTTCGCCATCTCGGGCTCTGGAGGTGTGGCTTTAAGTCGGGCCTGTCCCCTACAGGGGGATTTTTCGACGAAAAATAAAACATACCCCCAAACATAAGAAAAACAGAATCCCAAAATAGTCTGGGGACTATTTTGGGGGTATGTTTGTGACCTTTTTGGAATATTTCTTGGGTATTTTTTTTTGGTCGAAAAAATCCCCCTGTAGGGGGACAGGCCCGACTGGAGTGTGCCTGACCTGGTTGGGGGGGCCCCCTTTGAGCCGGCGGGCCCCCCCATCCGCCGAGGGTGTCGGCCAGTGCGGTCTGGCTCGGCGGCGTCGCAGGCGGCTGCGCTCGGCCGGCTCGGTTCGGCTGTTCGCAATCGCGGGGTTCTCCGCGTGCTCGCTCTCTGTTGTGGATTTCCTGAAGAGTCGCCAATCGCGCGGTTGCCGCGTCGCCGCGCCAGTGCACTCTTGGGTTGCCTGCGGCCTGTCGGCTTCGGCTCCGCTACCGGATCGATCGGTTCTTGGTGGTGTTATCGCCCTGTGCGGCTTCGGGGAGGCAGGAAGGAGGGGGGGATTCGGGTTGACCCACAAGGGGGTCCAGCGACAAGGGGGTGGTGCAATAGATTTGGTGCGACATGTATATGTGGGGTTGCAATGCATATGGGGCGAGCAATACAGTCCAGGGCGCAAATGTATTGGTGGAGTGTCGCATGCAGTGCGTTGCTTGCAATACAACGCAATACAATCTTCCAGCGCACTACATTTGCAGTACAACTTCCCCAAGTATATTGCACCACCCCCTTATCAGCTGGAGCCCGTTTGGGTCGCCCAAATGGATGGAGGATAGTGAGGGCTCCTCCTCGACTCCTCATCCTCGTCGCCCTGCGCAGCAGCGTGGTGGCCACGCGGAGCAACGACGGCAGGAGGTTAGGCAGGGGTGAGCGGCCCTTGTCCACGCCAAGCGATACTTTCTCAGCCCCCTCCCCCCCAACTAGGGCCACGCGTCCCAAAGGGGAGGCCTTCGGGGATGGGAACAGCAAACACTTGCAAAGTGAACGAGTAAGACCAACAGGACCATGAACATCAACCTTCGGAGGTCCGCTTGGAGTAGCGCTGTATCCCCCTGGCGGCGTTTCTGGCGCCGTCCTTAGGGCGCCGACCCAAGAAACTCGCGCGGCCCTGGGACAGTGCACTTCTATGCAGCCTCGTGCCTTCTACCTCCAGCAAACTACATCGAATATGCAGAACTGTTTGCCTCGACTTTCCGATATTGTCGTCATCTCGCTCTCTCTATGTCTCTCTCCCGTATTTTTTGTTTCTGGCGAGCCGAATTGAACATGAAAAAGTGTCATCCTTGGCTCTCCGATGCTATCGTGATCGTTCTCCCTCTCCCTCTATCGATCGCTCTCTCTCTCTCTCTCTATATATCTCTCTCTGTATCTCTTTCCCCCCCTCTCTCACTCTGTTGTTTTCTCTCCCTCTCTCTCTCTATATATATATGCCCCTCTATGTCTATATATCTTTCTTTCCCTTTCTGGTAAAGCCTGCAAGAGGTGCTCTGGCTGGTTCGAGGCACGGGCTGGTATGTAATGGCCTCCGGCACAGCCCGCAACTGTGCCTGGGTTGTGGGCGTGACGCCTATTGGATGTTCGTTGGGATCTCGTAGGAGGTCTCTCGGGGGCCTCTTGGAGGCAGTCTGGAGGCCTCTTGAGGCCCTTTTTTGAGCCCCTTGATGCGTCTTTTGCACATTTTGGGGTCCTGTTGGGGCCTCCTTGGGGCCTCGTGGAGCCTCCTGGGCGACTCTTGGGGCCTCCTGGGGGCCTCTCAGGGCGGGAGGCTTGGATGCTCGGTTCGTGTTCCATCTCTTGGGTCTTCGGGCAGTCTTGGGCTCCTCTTGGGCCGTCTTTCGGCGCTCCTGGAGGCCTCCCGGTCAGATTTTGGGAAGTCATGGAGGCCTCTTGGGCAGTCTTGGAGCGTCGGAAAGCCGAAAAGGCTAAAACCCCACCATCCTTCAAACCTAAGGGGGATCAATGATTTTTGCCTCTTGGGGAGCGTCTTGGGCCGTCTTGAGGCCATCTTGGGAGTTTTGGAACGATCTTTCGGCGATTCGAGGTCCTCTTGGACCGTCTTGAGGGCCTCGTGGGGCCCTCTTGGGTTGTCTTGGGGCCTTCTTGGGCCCGAAAAAGTCCTACGGGAAGCCGCAGGGTAGGCCAGATGGCACGTGACGAGCCCCGCCGAGTGTGGCAATTTGGTGTCTGGGCACCGAAAAAACTCCCGACAAAAACTCCTCAGGACAGGACTGAGGCTCAGAGGATGGGGCAAAGGACCCGGGGACACGCCCACTCCGTGCCCAGGGGCCAAGGTGGCGGATGCTATCTAGCCATCTGTTGCCGAGGACACGGCTACACAGTCAGTTGTCGACCGACCGAACAAGTCAGTTCGGGCGTAGGTCGGGAGGGGGGGAGGGGGGGGGAGCGGGGAGACACCGAGAGAGTCTTCGTTCGAGCGCGCTGCGCAGGTGTTGCATGAAGGCGCGGATGGTGTTCGAACGGCTGTCGGATGCTCTCGAAGGTTCCGGACGGTTCTCTTCGTCTGATGTTCCGCCCCCCGAGAGCCCCCCAGCCGTTTAGGGCGCGCCCCACCGGGGGGGCCTCCGGCGGCAGCGGCGACTCTCGAAGTTTGCTCGCTCCCCCGCGGGGCCCGTCGCCGTCCGATCGAGCAGATTCGGCGTCGATTCGGGCCATGCCGACCCGATTCGATTTTTCGATATGCCGACGAGCCGATTCGATTTTTCGATATGCTCTGCCCTGTCTTCGTCGTCGTCGTCGCGTCCCGGATCGGTGCAGGTGGGTGGTTTACGCTTCCCCCCCTCTCTTCGGGAGGCTCACGGGGGCGGAAGGGGGCGACCACTCGGGGGCCCCGAACCCGCACCGCGTGGTGAGTCAGTGGGCATCTAGGGTGACCGCACGGTCTTTGGACTCGCGAGGTCCTCCGAGAACGTCTCGGGCGACTGGGGCCCCCAGAGTCCCAAGACCATGCAGGACGGCGACGACGGCGACGGGCGCCCTCGGGGTGCTCTTGGGGGTTGTTTGGGGACCTCTTGGGAAGCTCTTGGGGGCCGCTTGGGAAACCATGCGCCGACTGACCGTGCGGTGATCTCTATCGGGATGTCGAGGCCACGCCATGCCGCACCGTTTTGGCTGAGCTTCTCGCAGGACGACGCGAGGCGCCCAGACCGCCTGAAGACCTGCTGGAGCACGCGGACGGGTCAGGAGGAGGAGGAGGAGGGCGCAGGGAGGATTAGGAGGAGGGGGAGGAGGAGGAGGAGGAGGAGTAGGAAGAGGAGGAGGAGGAGAAGGAGGAGGCGGAGGAGGAGGAGGAGGCGGAGGGAGAAGGAGGAGGCGGAGGAGGAGGAGGAGGCGGAGGAGGAGGAGGAGGAATGAGGGGAGGAGGAGGAGGAGAGAGGAGGGGGCAGGGGGTAATGATGATGATGATGATGATGATGATGATGATGATGATGATGATGATGATGATGATGATGATGATGATGATGATGATGATGATGATGATGACGATGACGATGACGATGACGATGACGATGATGATGATGATGATGGTGTGAATGATGATGACGATGATGATGATGATGATGCTGATGATGATGATGATGATGACGATGATGATGATGATGATGATGATGATGACGATGACGATGATGCTGATGATGATGATGATGACGATGATGCTGATGCTGATGCTGATGATGATGCTGATGATGATGAGGAGGAGTTGGAGGAGGAGGAGGAGGAGGATGAGAAGGAGGAGGAGGGGGCGGAAGGAGGAGGAGGAGGAGGAAGAGGGGGCAGGCCAGATGATGAGGAGGATGAGGAGGAGGAGGGGGAGGAAGAGGGGGCAGGGGGGATGATTCTGAACATTATTATTTTGATGATGATAATGATGATGATGATGCTGCTGATGATGATGCTGATGATGATGATGAAGATTATGCTGATGATGATGATGATGATGGTGATGGTGATGGTGTGAATGATGATGACGATGATGATGATGATGCTGATGATGATGATGATGATGATGGTGATGGTTGGTGATGGTGATGGTGATGGTGAAAGTGATGATGATGATGATGATGATAATGCTGATGATAATGATGCTGATGACGATGATGATGATGATGATGATGATGATGATGATGATGATGATGATGATGATGATGCTGACCGTGATGATGATGATAATGAGGGTAGTTAGGAGGAGGACGCAAGAACGGACGAGGAGGAGAAGGAGGGGAGGGAAGGCGTGATTCTAATGAGACTGGTGACGAGGAGGAAGAAGATGAGGAGGAGGAGGATGGGGGAGGAGGAGGAGAGCGAAGATGGAGGAGGAGGCGGAGGAGGAGGAGGATTGGGGCAGGGATGTTGATGCTGAAGATGATGATGCTGATGCTAATGATGATGATAATGATGATGCTGATGATAATGATGATGATACTGATGCTGTTGATGATGATGATGATGATGATGATGATGATGATGATGACGATGACGATGACGATGACGCGGATGATGATGCTGATGTTGATGCTGATGTTGATGCTGATGTTGCTGCTGATGATGATGATGACGGTGACGATGCCGATGGTGATGCTGCTGAATCCGATGAAGATGCTGATGCTGATGATGATGGTGCTGCTGATGCTGATGCTGATGCTGCTGATGCTCATGATGCTGATGCTGCTGATGATGATGATGATCAATGTGATGCCGTTGCTGATGCTGATGAGTATGCTGATGCTGATGTTGATGACGATGGTGCTGGTGATGATGCCGCTGATGATGATGATGATGATGATGATGCTGATAATGGCGATGATGAGGATGTCGATGAGGCTGATGCTGATCCTGATGATGATGCTGATGATGCTGCGTCTGCTGCTCCTGATTATGTTGATGCTGGTGCTTATGCTGCTGATGATGATGATGATGATGATGATGGCGATGATGACGATGATGATGATGATGATGATGATGATGATGATGATGATGATGATGATGATGATGCTGAGGATGATGATGACCAGGATGATGCTGCTGATGTTGATGATGCTGCCGATGCTTATGATGCTGATGCTGCTGATAATACTGATGATGCTGATGGTGCTGATGCTGCTGAGGGTGATGCTGCTGATGCTGCTGTTGCTGATGCTGATGACTCTGGCGATGATGCTGATGATACCGATGCTGATGCTGCTGCTGATGATGATGCTGCTGCTGGTGATGATGATGCTGATGCTGCTGATGATGATGCTGCTGATAAATGCGATGATGCTGGTGCTGATGCTGATGCCGATAACGATGATGATGAGGAGATGGAGGGTGAAGAGGTGGAGGAGGAGGAGGAGGAGGAGGAGGAGGAGGAGGAGGAGGAGGGGCATGGGGGATGCGGTTGCGGAGGAGGAGGAGGAGAGAGGAGGCGGAGGAGGAGGAGGCGGAGGAGGAGGAGGAGGGAGGACGAGGCGAGGGAGGAGGAGGAGGAGAGGAGGGAGGAGGAGGAAGCGGACACGTGACGCACTCGGCCCGGGCGACAGCTGGATGCACACGTGGCCACGTGTGTGTGTGTATATATATATATGCATCGCTCGGCCGCTCCAAGGCCCCGCACGCCGGGCTTCCGCGCGCGCGCGCGTGTGTGTGTGTGTGTGTGTGTGTGTGTGTGTGTGTGTGTGTGTGTGTGTGTCCGGCGTGTGCCTCCTGCGCCCTCCTCCACCTCCTCCTCCTGCCCCCCTCGCCTCCTCCTCCTCCTTTTACCTTCTCATCCTCCTCCTCATCCCCCCTGCCCCCTCCTCCTCCTCCTACTCCTCCTCCTCCTACTCCTCCCCCTCCCATCCTCTTCGTCCTTCTCCTGGCACTTTGCCCGACGTCCTCGAACCTGGCTCGGACTCCGCGACCAGGCCCAGCCTCGCAGGGCTCGTTTCGGTGCCTCCGATTCGATTCGATTCGATTTCGATGGCTTCCGATTCTGATTCGATTCGACTTTGGATTCCAATTTGGACTCCGATTTTTTTTTCGAGGTATACTAGCCTGCCGATTTCCGCCGATTCGACTTTTCCCGACTCGGCTGCCGATGTCCGCCGATCCGATTTTTTTCGATCGCCGAACCGACTTATCGATTCGATTCTGGGCTCTCCTGGTCTTGACCTGGTATGTCTTGGCTCAGATACGGGGCCAACCTCAAGCAGAGAAAGAGCCCCCCGCCCTTGCGGCGAGGCGCCGGCGGCGTACGCGTACACGTCGCCCGCGGCGGCGCTGGGCGTCACGGCCGCCGCGCCAGCGGCGTACACCACGTCCTACGGCGCCGCCGCCGCGCAACGGCGGGGGAGTCGTCAGTGCCGTTCGGTGCGATCGAGATGCGTACTCTAAGGTGTTCCATGAGCCTGGAGGGGTGGATGTGGATGTTGTTGATGCTGCTGCTGCTGCTGATGGTGGTTATGATGATGATGAGGATGTGATTGATGATGATGGTGATGATGATGATGCTGATGATG